TGAACCATTTGTTCGTCCAGAAAATTTTCATCAGTATTTTCCTTTATTATAATAATCATTCTTCTTTTTTTTTGTTAAAAATTCTATCAATAAAAGGAAGCAGTTTGCGCAAGTCAAATATATATTTCAATTATGATGATCAAGTGAAATAAAATCATTCCAATAAGAAAAAAAAAAGAATATTTTCCATGTGTGGTATACTTCAACATGGAATAGATTTATTGTTATCTTATTGTTATTTACATCTATCTATTTATATTTTAAGAAAAAGATGAATAAGATACTTCTGATCAACAATAACTTTTGGTTTTTCTTATTTTAAGCAGAACTAATAAAACATGTTTTCACACAACAAATTAACTAGTTTAGAAAGGAAAAGAAATCTTTTCATTTTTGTTTTTGCTGATTAATCTCTACTAGATCAATTTGTTCATATTATTGATTGATAATCATGAGAAACCTCTTGAAAAAAAAAAGCTTTTTTTTCATATTGTTCAATTTTCTATTCTCTGTCAATCATATGTTAGAAAAATGCAAGAAAGAAAAATATAGAAATATTATATAAAACATCAAACTGAAATTCAACAACTATTGTTCTTTCAAAGAAAAATCAAAAAGAATTTCGTTTGATTATTTTTATTAATGATTTTAATTACTCATTGTTCATCATTGTTGAGAAAAATAAATTTTCAATTTTAATCAAACTCTTATTTAAATAAAACAAAAATATGATCAATATTATGTTATCCATGACATACAGATTCTATGCAATAATCACTGATTACTTAGTAGATACAGAATATTTAATAAAATGCGCATTGATAAAAATTCTTTTAAGTTAATCAATTATTATGATGAAAAATCAAATCATCAATCTTCATTTATGTTATTATAGAATTGCAGTTAAATATCTTCATTTTCAAGATAAAATATTTTAAACAAATACCACATCTCAGCTTCTATACTATTACAATTAAGATTATTAAGTTCACTTGCTTATTAATGTCTACCATAGGTGGCCGAATATTTTCAATGTAGGGTATGCTCAATAGTTTTTATAAGTCCTTTACTAACAGATTAAAAATAGAGAAGGTAATTTTTTTATGCTATGCTATTCAAATCAAACACAATTAATCCCCTTTATTTCGAACTCACATTTTGTAATGCATAACATTAGCGCAGATCAGAAATGAGTTTGCAACTTATGGCAAAAAAATTGTATTGAAAGCGTCACTTAAACTTTTGTCTTGATTGAATAGTGATCTTTAAATATAACCCATCGAATGCAAAATTTTTGGATCCGAATTCAGGATAGTAATCTTCGTGCCCACAACGGACTTTTTTTTTATTCCCAATCTGATAATCATTTCAAAGACACTACATTTTTTTCGATTAATTTTTCGGTGACTAGCACACTACACATTTTTCAGAGAATCTTGACGATAATATCGTAATAACCAAGTTAGAACTTGCCCTTACTTGCAGCTAGAGCCCATCACGTCTGAATTCTAGGGCTTGTACCTGGATCTAGATTTGAATATGTTCAACAGAAAAATTTCGGACTCATCGCTAAATCTTAGAGTCAGTCAGGTTCTGAACCGATTTGACAAGCTGCATCTGGGAAAGAGTTTTTGATTGTTGCTTGTTATATCCTTTTTCTTTTCTTTATTGCTCGTATTCTCATACTATACTCTGATATCACCGAGACAGCAACGTGATGGTATTACAGAAGGAAACAAAAGAATAATCTTCCTTCGCATAAAATCGAATCACGCATGTTCTGCTTGTCGGGTAGTCGTATTAACCACTGTACTAGAAAGAACCGTATCTTATTCTGTTTGTTTCGTGTTATGAATGAAGGGGAACACTTCAATTCATAACAGTGCTATTGGAAACTAGAACTATGGCGAGGTAGTAGTACTCACAGAAAAGAAATTGCATTGTGAGTTTGTTCAGTGTGTTGAAAATGTTTTATTAGCACTTGAGATGAAGCGCTAAGAGAAGAGAAACTTTTTAGCATCATCTAGCAGATCTAATTGTAAGTACCCTGTTATAGGTGCAGAACTATGTGATTGTTTCATTTGAATTTTAAAAGAATTTTTGAAATATTTAATTGAAATTATTTAATAAAATCCATACGCATAATTAACAATTCGAGCAACTATTTCAATAAATATTGCTAGTAATAGATTTCTATGAATTTTTGTTCAACTGTAATAGAATGATCTATTAAAAAAAAAACAATATAAACAAATAATTTTTTTTCTCTTTTTATTAATTAATTTTTACTTTAGAGTAAGAAATATTATAAATGAAACAAGAACACTTATAAATGATACAGATAATTCAACTAATTGAATAATACGCACAGCTTAAAGAGTTCCTGTATAAGCCTAAATTAAAAAAATTAAAAATAAATAAACTTAATATCAAACAAACTTTTCTATATTTAGCTGTTCTTGATATTAAATCGCAGACATCTGAATAAACACTTGGCTGATATGATACATTTGATCATTTTCCTGATGAGAGACAATGGCGACTGATGAATATCACATAAATCAAAGAATATTTTCTATAAAAATCTTGAAAAATACTAACTGCTTGAATCGACTTCCTCGTTGGTCAATGATGAACATGAAATAGTAATGAACTGATTGGTACGAGTTGATGGCCAACATAAATTATCAAATAAAGTTGGACAATATAATACCTTATTTGATGAATTATTAGATAGAAAAGTGGAATTAGATAATAAATATTCACTTGTTATTGACGACATCGAGATATAATATGAACACATCAAGACCACATGGACAGTCGATTATCAGAATTAGAAGAGAAGAGAAGAAGAAGAGTGTCCTGCCTTTCGGCTACCTGGTGGTATGGGATGCTGTCCGAAGACAGTTTCGAAAGTCCGATATTTTTCCTACAACTATTACTAGCTGTAGCTATGGATAGAAGCCCGGCTTGACTCAGAGTTTTTCCGCTTAATCACTTAAGCTCCCCGCACACAATGACTACCCACAAGGGCAAGTGTATGTCACAATGTAGTCATTATGCTATCGTACGGGTGATCTGAGACAAATAGCCGTTAATGACTTGTCCAGGGTCATTAAACAAATCTTCCTCAGAGGACTACGCAAGTCTGTGTAAGAGCCAAGTCGAATTTGAAAAATTGACTCACGTTGGACTTTGGTATAGGTGCAAAAATTTTTATTGTTCATTTTAAGTTAATCAATCGGTTTATATTTTAAGATGTGTAGGATAGAGTAGGGTAGTGCTAGCAGTTTTCCAGGAAAAAGGCAGACAAAGATAAGATCAGAGTAAAGATTTTGTGAGGAATAGCAGTGTACCATAGGATAAGAATAAGAATTTAGTAAGGTAACATGAAATCAAAATGAAAAAAACCAATGAAATCATGATAGAGGTATGTTTTTATTAGGTTGTTCGATTATACTCACACGATTTCTAGAATATTCGTCACTTTCACATTCTAAAAGAAAAACGTATCGTGGAAAACTCAAATCCATTTGAAAACCTTTCCGAAAGCCTTTTATGGTTTACCAAAGAGTTTTCGATCTCCTCAATCATTTTCGAAAATATCTTCTTGATTTCCGAAGGTTTGAAAATTCAAAGGTTTTTGGAAAATACCAATTTGGACATCCTAGAATACTCTTTTGTTGCTGTTGAAAGCTTGTTGAATATTCTCGGAAACCATAAAAGTATTTTAGAAAAGTGATATTTCCGAAAAAGCCGATCTAGCTTCCGAATGTGTATTTGATGGTATCATTTTGGTTTCCAAGGTGTTTCTTCGGAAACCGTGTAAATTTCCGAAGTTTCTGAGGCTTAAAAAGGTGCTACGAAGAACCTAAATTGGTTCTCTAGTTTTTTTAAAATTATCAAAGGTTTTCAAAGATTGAAAAACTTTCAAAATATTGTTGACAAGAAGATCTTCCAATCCAAATATATTTTGCAAAAAAACATCTTGCATTCGAATTTCCTTTTCTAATCTTCACTTTTCCTTATCTTCAATTCTCAGTACCGAACTGAAATCGATGATAGATTCGGTATATAATACTTATGTATCCATAATGCATCATTGAGATGACAATATTTTCCAAATCTGAAGTTGCTTTATGCTGTCGAAATGATTGGCTTATACGACCAAAAAAAATGATGCTGACTATTTGTAAACAACTGCATTGGTTGGAAGCGATCGTTAAGCTGCATAAGGAACAATGAAAAAAAGAAAGATCAGAATCTTTTGATTATCGCTATATATTCGTATATGGAAAAGTCATCTCTTTTATTTTTTTTCCTGTAAAAAAAGATAACTTCTCTATTCTTACTATTTTTGTCCCATTTTCAACCTGGGCAGAGAGCTTATTTTTATCACTGTTTTCAAAAGTGTCGTTCATTAAACGTTTAGTATTCTTATATTGATTAATATTTTCTATTTTGAAGTATTTCGAATTATATTGTTAATCCCTCCGGTTAAAAGTCCATCTTATTAAATCGAAAATGTGCCGTACTAAATCATCAAATACAACGGCATGCTATCAATGTGATGAGGTATATCGCAAATGTTGACATTTAACTTTAAGTCCAAATTTAAAAATATTTAAATCTAACGCCAAGATTCACGAAAGATTACTTTTAGTCTATCAGATATCATACCAAATCAGATTGTGTATACTTTCATGACACATAACCTTTGTACGATTTTTCAAAATTCAATTAAGTAAGGCACTTGAGGTTGACGTGTTACTTGTATATTCTAAAAAGTATATTATACATGAGAAACATTCTGAGAAAAGAAGAATGACCGGCCAATAAACAACAAGAGAATGTTTGACAGAAAGAAAAATGACATCATCTATTCATCATTGTCTATTATTATGACATGAATATTTATCCTTCATTGTTCTCTCAGACAGTAATGAGGAAAAATAGATATGTATATATAAATTAACACGATTGAACACAATAAATTAGACATGAACATTTCGAATAACAATCATCTTCATCTACTCGATTTACCAAATGAAATTTTACTCATTATATTTAAGAAACTAAATATAGTCGATGTTTTCTATTCACTTGTGGATGTTAGTAAACGGCTTGATCAATTAGTACTTGATCCATTTTATATTCGTAAACTTGATATGGCATCCATGACAATGAAATCATTTGAGGATCGTATCTACTCAATAGACAATGAAGTTCTTTCAAAAATTTGTAAAAATATTTTACCTCGAATTCATGATCAAGTAAATGAACTCATTGTTGAACAACATTCAATGGAACGCGTTCTTCATACAACCAATTATCCTCAACTTTACTCGTTGTCGCTTATAGATTTTAAAGAAGAAGTACTGCTCGAATATTTAGCAGGTAAATTGTTTTATTTTTATTTGAACTAATACAAAAAGGAAATCGTTGTATATAAATTAATAATTGTTTTCCTTCGTTTTTCTCTCAAATAAAGATAATACAATTCTTCGCAAGCTTCTCAATGAACAAATTACACATCTTCAAATTGATGTTAAGGATACGACAGGATCACCACCACTTCCTGAAAACCTTTCAACTATGTTTGTTTTTATTTTATCTTTATGTAAACAACTAATCAAATTAGATTTTTGTCAATTCGATCATCGATCAACGTTTTGTACTTTTGACTTATCGACCAATTGCAAGTCTTCAACTTTGACTACATTGAAAATTGATGTGGAAACTTTCGATGATTGTCTTTATTTACTTGATGGACGGTTCAATTGTTTATCAACAATGATTGTACATGTTGGAGAAATTACACATACATTAGCAACTATAGATAATACGGTTAGTATTATTGTCAATTATTGGCTTCCAAGAATCTTTGTTTCATTTTCATAGAAAAAACTTCCCAAATTGAAACATTTCTCATTATGCTCGTGTCCACGCAGAGTTGTTTATGATAATCTAATTATTCCACTACTTCAACGAATGATAAATCTTGAAGAATTGAGATTATTTCTGTCAATAACAAGAACTGACTCGAATTATATTGATGGCACTGAATTATATAATTCAATTCTTATTTATATGCCACGATTAAACAAATTTACTTTCAATATAGACACATGTATAATCAAGAAGAATATTGAAATACCTCTGTCATCGAATGAAGATATTCAACGTAGTTTTATTAGAACAAAATATGGACCAGTTGTTTCATATGTTGAAGTATTCTCAAGAGAAAAGGAAAGTAGAGGCCACAAGTATTCACTTCCATACGAGTTCAACAGTAGATGCCACATCCATTCACTTCCATATCAATTCATAAGTTTTTTTCATTTAAACAATTCTTTTCAAGGTGGCGTGTTTGGTAATGTTCAATCATTACTGATGACGGGCATACGCCCTTTTGAGCATAACTTCTTCAAAGTCATCTCGAAAAGTTTTCCTCTCTTGAAAAAGTTGTATATATTTAATAATGAGCCACAGAAACACAAGCAACAATCGATGACATTAATCATATTTTTTCATCTTATTTTGCTCAATCTTGATTGCGCTCATGTAGATTATGCTGAACAATTTCTCGTCGATAAACACTGTCATTTACCTTGTTTGCTAGACCTTAATATTGGCTATGAATCACTCGCACTAGTCACAAACAATTTCACCAATGATGCAACATATTTCACTTGTTCGAAATTGACTTGTCTTCGTGTAAAGGAGCCGTTTGTTCCTCCAAAAAATTTTCATCAATATTTTCCTTTATTGTAAATATTATTTTTGTTAAAAATTGTGTCAATAAAAGAAAATAGTACGAGAAGATTACGCATACTTCGATCATGCTGATCAGATAAAATAAAATGAATATAACAACAAGAAAAATGTTTTGGCTACGCTTTGACAAAGAAGACTTTGATTCAGAGGTGAATGGAGTAGCTAAAAAATCACTCCGCCACCGCCCACCTCTTTATCATATTGAAAAAAAGTTTTTTTTTTTTTTTTTTTTTTTTTTTTTTTTTTATTACGCTCTAACTGTGATCAAGAAGATCCTTACAGTACAAAGAGAGAAAAGAAAAAAAAAAAATGTTGAATAGAGAGATAATAAGAAAAGGGAATAATGAATGAAAATGAAATAGGTCACACAAACGAAAATAAAAAAACAACAAAATACGACCAACAAAGAAAGAACACCAGCGAAAAGAAATGTAAGCGGTAGAAAATAAACGCACATAGCAGTGGACACAAGAGAACATCAGCGATCAATGAAGGAAGACAAGGTCGCGTCAGCGTGCGTGGAGAGCGGTAGAAAATAAACGTACAAACGTAGAGGAATCTTGACTAGAAAGTTTCGGGATATTCTTGGAGAAGTTGAACATCTTCCATCTCGAAGCAGGGGATTGATGAAGAACAAGGAACTGATCTAAGCCAGGAGACAACTTTTTCTAATATAGGGGTACACTCAACGAATCTTCTGGAACGTCTAAGGCCTTTCAGAGGAAATTCGCCCTGGCGCCACAAATTCCTAAAAACATTTAGGTTGGCTTTCTCCAGAATCAGTTCCCCGTCGACTGAGTCGGCTAAGGCTACCAAATATTTGTCCCAGTATGAAAAGCATCTATCTTCCAGTGACTTTTCATTCATCGCATATGCAAAAAAATTTTCATTCCAATGCGAAGAAAACATAACTTTACGAAGACATGTGAAGTAAAAATGAGAGAGGTCATTTCTTTGTTTATCAGAGAAGAGTGGGAATAGAGGGTAGATCCATGTAAATAATGGAAGAACGTATGATGCGAATAGGGCACGTCTTAACAGAGGGGAGGAACAGCCAGAAAGTTTAAATGACCTAATTAGCGAGACACGTTGTCTTATTTTTATCATTGTTTTTTGGATCATGTAACTCCAACCTAGTTTGGGGGTGATCCAATAACCTAAATACTTAAACTCTCTGGCCCAATTGATCATCTTTACGTTGTTAGGACCGTAAGAAATATTAAATTTCGGTAGGCCTATAGCACGAGCACTGAATACCGCTTCTGTTTTGGAGAAGTTTATCGGTTGCATGGACAGACATGAATAATATTCAAGCTGATCAAGAAACCGTTTAATACGTTTTTCCAGGTCTAAACATTGCTCGGTAAAACGTACGCCTAGTCGTCCAGCAACTATTGCAGCAAGATCATCTGCGAAAAAGTGACTCGAACACCCCGAAAGGAATTGACCCATATCACAATGGTATGTTATAAATAAACTCGGAGTTAGTATTCCGCCTTGAGGACCGCCTTTTTCTATCGAGAACCAACGTGATTTACTACCATTGATTTCTATAAAACCACGTCTATTTCGAAGCCATGCATCTATCCAGGCGAGATACGACGGAGGAATACCTAATCTACGTAATTTTCCTATGCACCCAGTGAACCAGAGTTGGTCAAATGCCGACTTAAAATCAACGAAAATGGTGCAAACAGGGGCACTATTCGCCATTAGACTATATATATCTTCTAGGAATAGTAGTAAGCGCGTTTGTAATCTAAAACTGTCTCTAAAGCCTGATTGACTGTCGGGAAGTATTCCTCTTCTGATCAAAACATCCTTAAAACGTGTAAGAAATAGTTTCTCACCAACTTTCTGAAAGGAGTCGAGTAGTGAAATTGGCCTCGTTGCAGAGGGAGAGCAGATAGACTCTTTTTTAGCTAGGAGGATTATTCGAGTGTCTTTCCATGCCAAAGGTAGGGTAGCTTTTTGGAAAGAGAGATTATAGAGTTGGAGAAATAGGGACCAGTTCGAAGAGGCTAGAAAACTAAACATAAAGTTTGAGATTCCATGAGCATCCAAAGATTTCTTCCTTCGTTTTGCCTGCACTGTTTCAAGTAGTTCATTTAGAGAAACTTCAGGAATCTTTTCATCTTCATTGTCGAATTGAACCAAGGGTGCATCAGTATAAGGATGTGGTCTTATGACCTCCTGTTGCTTAAAGAAATCTTCGTAATAATTAGCAGCAGCCTCACACATTTCCTCAGGTTTCTTGATGATATTTCCTAATGGGTCAATAAGTGCATGGAGGGAAGAGGAAGAAGGTTTTAGATAACGTTTGGTTTTCGACCAGAATGAAACAGATATCGGCGCAGGTGTATTACGACAGCTAAGCATTGTAGTGAGTTGGAGAGAAAAAAAAGATTTTAATTCTTTTTTCGCAATTTTCCTTAAAAGGGAGACTTCATTTTTTAGCACAGAACTTCTGGTTCTTATTTGTCGAAAGGATAGAGCTCTTACATAAGACAAAAAAGCTCTTAGTTCAGCCGGGATTGCCATGCGATATCTGTCAAACGGAAAAGTAAATGTACAACGAGCCGAAAGAAGATATAGAAACTTAATATAATCATTGTATGCTTCATCAAGGTTACTTTTATGCCATATCCCCTCCCAGAAAGTATATGTAAAGTCAGTAAAAAATGCAAATACCTTCCAGTGTGTATTTTTACCCAAAACATTTTCCTTAATTCTCGTTGGGATAACTGAGAGGATGGGAAGATGATCGCTCGTTGTGTTGCCTTTATAAGTTTGGATATTGATGTTAACGCCACTCGCAAAGGCATAGTCAATAGCTCTACTAGAACGAAGAGAGGTTGGTGTCTCCGGTATAAATGGGGCTAAGTGATTCATATCAGCCCAACACAACAGTTTATCTGCTTTATTACTATCGTGAAATAGGTCAACATTGAAGTCTCCGTAGAGAACACATTTATCTGTAATGAAAGGAGACATATCGTCCCACGACCATGATTTGCTCTCGGGAGCATAGACTCCAATAATACGAAGATTTTCTTCAGCTTTAATATCCATCACACAAACATTTGGTAGCCTACAGTCGACTCTGTTGACCAGAATGCCGAATCTAACTAAAACTAATACACCACCATTACGGTTTTCCCCTTTCTGATAGAAGATCGTATAATTCGGGAATGCTTTTTGACATAGTGAAATATCAGTTGAACCTGTTTCGAAAAGGATAAGAAGATCAAACTTAAAAGAGGTCGTAAGCAGAAGGATTTCCTGCCATCTTAGATCAAATCCACGCACGTTGAATGATAGAACCTGAAGAGATGAGATAAAAGAAGTATTATCACGAGGTACATAATTTTGCCAAATAGAAAAACATGAAGATAGAAAAGGAGAACTCTCCCATTCCGACAGAATGTTCGAGAATAAGGTATAGTCAAAATGGGATAAACATTCACTAGCTCTTAACAAAAAATTTTCACGTTTACATAGTTTTAATGAGGAGGTACAAGAAAAAAAAGGAAAAGTGTCAGGTGATAAAGTCATTAATTAAAACGGTGTTTACCTTCTCTTGTTTTTCTCATTTGAACAACATAGCGTTCTAGTCTACATTTTAAATCGGCATCAAGTGTGTTGCCTTTTTTGTCCTGGTTCTGTACGGCCATCCACGAGAATACCTCTTCCAACGTTGGGATAAACAATTTAGTAAAAAAATTTTCATGACGACCAAGTAAC